ACGTTCTGAGGCCTCTCCAGTTCTCCGACATCCTACGTTCTAAGGCCTCTCTCGGCTCCTGCATTCCACGTTCTAACATTCCCCCCAGGTCTAACATCCCATGTTCTATGCTTCCACACACGTGCCCCCTCCATCAACTCAGACCCAAACCCAAGAACAGCCTGCTGTCCAGGCCAGCCCTCAGAGGGGCATGAGCCTCTCTCTGGACCAAGAGCTGGCCGAGGCCCATAACAACGGACACCCCATCAGGCTGGGGCTGGCCTTGGCCTCTTCAGGCCTGGTACAAGCACACTGACGATACTGTGTCCAGAGAGCGGTGGTGGGCTTGGGGGAGATCCAAAGTTCACCAGGGGCTCCTCTGGTCTGTTCACCTGCGGGACGACCGTCCAGGCCACAACAAAGGCCACACTGTCTGACGTGAGGCCAGACAATCACAGGACATCAGAGAGGAAAGGGTCCTTAGCCACCAGCTACTCCCATTTTACAGAGGGGAAACTTGAGGCCTGGAGGAGGGAGGTAACTCACCCAGGTTGGTGAGCCCCAAGCCCAGGGACCTGACCCCCAAGTGCCAGTAGGTCCCCTCCTAGGGCTTGGGGGTGGGCTAGGGTGGGGACCAGCCTGCCCAAGGAGTACTGCCGCTTGGGGAAGCTGGGTGGCCAAGGCTGGCCTTGGCTCCCATGCCCACCCAGGGTACCTGACATCCCCTTTGTGCCTCCCTATGAGGCGGCTGGAGCGAAGCGTGTAGAGCAGGGATGGCTCTCCGTGCACAGAGCACAGCGGCACCAGCACCGCGGCTGAGGCCTCCCCATGGCGGTATCTGGCCGTGGTGGCCTCCAGCAGCTGTCGGCAGCGCAATTCGTTGGCACTGGACAGGGAGTGGCGAGCGGCCTCTTCTGGGCTCAGGGTGCCATTTCCTGCCCAGGAGCCGGGCTGCCTGCTCGCCAGGCGCAGCGTGGGCAGCATGGTGCCTCGGAGTTCTGTGGAGGGAAGGAGGCCCAGGTGAGATGGCACCTCTCCCTTCCCCACCTGGTGCTGGCCACAATGTAGGAAATGGGCACGACTCAGTTTATGGTGATGGAGTAGAAGGACGGCCGGACAGAATGAGCCTGCTACTGGCTGGGCCTGTGACCTTGGACATGTGACATCCTCTCCCCAAGCCTTGGACTCCTCCTCCTTAAAGGTTTCCATAGCCTGCGGGGGTGTGTGACCCCAGGATCCGTGCAAGTCCAGGCCAGGTGCCATCTTTCCCCCCACCCATTAACAGTAAATGCCCTAAGGCCTCCTGGGACGGGTCTCCTGGGGTGGCTGTGCCCACACTATGGGTGCCTGAACTCACCCTCTTCCCTTTCTGCTGGGGCTCCCTTCTGCCTGGCTGTCCTCTGCTCACTCCTCCTCTTCTTACCCCACACACAAACCTTTGCCCCTTTGGCTACATCCATGGCCCCTGTACCCCTCCCCTGCGGTGGCCTCCAGCTGGCCTCCCCACCACTCTGTCTGTCTCTCTCTCTCTCTCCTATCCAGGCCAACCTTCACGCAAAGGCCAAAGTGAACGGGCCAGGGTATCCTCTGCTCACTAATCCCAATTACCTTGAGGCTGAAGCTCAAATTTCTCCAGCAGGCCCAGCAGGCCCAGCAGGCCCAGCAGGCCGGACAGCTCCTTGGCTTAGGACACAGGGCTCCCCTCCAGGTGCCTTGTGCTTTCAGCAAATTCGCTCTTAGGGGAATTTTACAAATGTCTAAATTCTACTTGTGATCTCTTGCTTTCAGGCCCCAGGCCTCCCGGGATGTGCCCTGGTCATCTGGTGACTGTGCACAGACCGGCCCCAGCCCTGGGAGGCTCCCTTCCAAGCCCAGCTCCGGGGCAGGGCTGGCTGCCACAGGAGGCGCTCTCCTCCAAATACATTGTATCCAGCTGGTAGCTAGTCCTAGATTTGTTTCCTGGGATAGAATGTAAGGGCCCGGAGGACAGGTACTCTCCTTTCGGTCTTCCTTGCCCAGCCCTGGAGAGAGGGGGGCTTCCCTACTGCACGTGCTTAAGGAATGCTTATGGAGATAACTTTGTTGTCTGGGGTCTTCCCCAGCTCCGGTTCTCTTTTCCCTGAAGTCTCTGCAGCCTGTGCCAGTCTGTACTCTAAGAACCCTCTGTTCTCTGATGCCTGGCAGGTGCACTCCTAGGCTCTGAATTCAAATCCCACCTCTGCCACGAGCTGTTTAAGTCCCTCCCCCTCCCAGGGCCTCAGTTTCCTGCGCTGTAAAAGGGGAAGGTCGGTCCCGAGCTGCCCCCTCCCGAAGTCTCTTCCTGCCCAACTCCGGGAGGGGCTCGGCGGTTGTCCCGGAGACGCGCCCCACCCCCACCCCTGTCCCTGTCCCGTCTTTCCGGGGGAGCCTGGAAAGCTCAAAGAGAAACTGGAAAGGTTGGGGGGAGGGGCGCGGCGAGGAGGAGTCATTATCAAGGTCAAGGACAGGGACAGGTCTGGCCCCCGACCTGAGGTCCGCAGCCCCGCAGGGGGCGAGCCAGGGTAGGGGGGTTGGGGGGGGAGATCAATGAGCCCTCCCCCCCAGCACTGACCTGGGCCCGCGGCGCCCGTTGCCCGAGCAAAATGGCTGCGGGGGCGGGGCCGGGCGGGGCGGGGCGGGGGTCCTGGCCCGAGGAGGGATCCCGGGGAGCCCCCGGCCCCGCGCCGGACGGGGCTGTGCGTGTGCGCTTGTGTACGAGTGCACGCACGGAGGCAGGCGGGGGGGAGGGGAAGGCTCTGCGGGGGGGCCGGAGGGGGGCCCCACCCACACCCCGGCCCTGGCTCCCGCAGAGTAGAGGCTCCGCCCCGTCGGGGCCCAGGGCCCTGGGGTTCGGCCCAGGAAGAGGGAGGGGCCTGCTCGCGGCTGGCCAGAGGCCCTGGGGGGCGGGATACCCAGATGCGGACGGGGCACCCAGATGCGGACGGGGCACCCAGATG